GTGTATAAGAGACATGGGCTGAGCCGGTACAAATATTGAATGTTCACAAATGTTTTTGACCACCCAGAAATCTGTTTCGGACTTAACCTTTAGTGATATTATGAACCAAACTTCCTTCACAGACATGCTATCATTCTGGCACCTTCACATTATCATTTTCATGTTCCAGTCACGAGTTAGTTGACGTTTTCTAAGAAACTCAGTTAAACTTCACTGTTTCGACCATAACTTTCTTCACAGGAAATGGAATTGTAAGTTATCAAGATTTTCAGAATAATCTTTTCAACCCTAAACAAATGTATCATTTTCATTTCTTAAGTCCATCAGTTAATCATTTTTATAAGTGTCAGTGATATCAACCAACAACATTCTCTCAATGTTTACCTTTTTATCTTTTTCATTTGCATAAATAATTTTTTGCTATTCAGTGATCTGAACGGACAATCTCATAACTTCAACAAAAAAAAAACGAATCTTCATATCTTCCAGATCTTAACAAGTTCTTCGAATCAACTGAAATGACTTGTGAACAGTTCTTTCCTAAGTTATTAGAGTGATGTACTTGCTATCACAAATAATTGGTATCCAACAAGCCAGCTCAAGAAAGAATCAGGCTATTGCAATTCATTCGTATATTCTTTTCAGATGTTCCGCCTAACAATTCGTAGTAGCAAAGATACTGTAGCTAAATGATTGGTTGATTTACAATATAAGATTTTGAATCATTTAAAGTCTCATCAGGACTATTCCAGTCTGGACAGTTTAATTCCAGTAATGCGAATAAAGGGTTGAGAGACACTAAAGTTTTCTACAATATAATGAAATGAATATTGAATACCGACTAAATGTATCTTTTTTTTTGAAGAGGTGAATATAACAATCAAAAGAAAAATAATTGAAATGAAAAATTTCGAAACGACCATCGATGAACTAAAAACCTTACATAAAAAATATTTGAGGAAAAATCTTTTTTTTTACAATGATAGAGCAAAGTAGACACTATTAGGAACGCCCTTTTTTGAATTCAATCAATAAACCACCCATCAATCAATAATAATTGATTATTATCATTAACATGGATGTCTGGCTCGAGCATAGATGAAACTGACTGCTTCTTCTGCTCATTCTGCACATGTCCTTAAGTAAAAAAATATTATTATTCAAGAACTCTGAAAATTCTTTTTTCTTTCTTTTTCAAAAAGAAAAATTTTTTTCTTTTTCTCATTTTTTGTATAAATGTAGGTCAAATGTTTCTCAATATTGATGTTCGATGTTCGTGATCATGAGAACAAGTCTCACCAAATCATTCAGCTTGAACTCCAAGATCAAGTTTGTTCTGAATTTATACTATAGAAAAAAAACTGATTTTTCCAGGCGACAACCTCCCAGATCAAAGATGAACTACGCTCCAAATTTGGAATAAATGGCTCTGATCAAGAGTTATTGGATAGCAATAATCAGCGAATACCGGATAATGGAGGCATTGGAGACAAGAATACGTTAATTCTGGTTAGTTGTAATTTATTAAACTTCCTTGAACTTTTTCTTTTAACTTAATATCATTGATCAATATGATATACTTCTTCCGGTTTACAAATCACCAAGTTCAACGGTGACCACATGAAATGTGAGCTCATCAACTCATTTAAAGCGTATTTTCACTCCAACACGCTTATCTCCCCGCTAGAGAAATCCATTATATCTGAAATTACCCCTGTCCTGTCATCCATTAATACTTGTGAATTGATTACCTATTCATAATGATAGCTACGATAAAGCTATACAACTCCTCGATTCCATATATGAAAGCCAGATAGCCAAAGATAACGTTAAAGGTAGAAACATGCTATTCGCCAAACCTGTTTCAAGATCCCCCGAAGATTTCGTGACAGACATACGCACTATGCGTCATGCTTGCAGACGAACCCGGCACACAGTTCGTTTTTTTTTCTACACAACGCGATTTCGAAGCACCTTCCCAAAAAATAAGTCACTCTCATTTTTCTGGAAGGAAAGAATTCTGAATCTGAAACAAAAATTTTTTTAAAAAAATTCATCAAACAATCAATAAATTTCAGAAACACGTTCTTCTGGGAAATCGGGAGGAATTTTTGAGAAA